ATTTTCAAAGTCTGCACACTTTCAATGCATTCTTAAGTCGAAAATTCTCATTTTCATACATTTTCCTCAAACCATTTCGATTCCAAACCATTCCAACTTCTAAATCTCAACTTAATATCTCCCAAATCATTGACTTAATCAAGTCAAAGTTCATATGATGAACTTGCATAAATCTTGATAATCTCTTGAATCTAATGATCATTTCAAGCCATAAACACTAAAAAGAACACTCCTTTTATACACTTAAGATCAAACYCATATGAAACCCTAACTCTATCTCAACATGCAATCTATAAAACAAGAATGTCAACCAAGAACAAGTGCAAAGAATAGATTATACCTTACTTGATGATCAAATCCTCCCAAGATCTTGTAGTTCCTCTTTGATTTGAGTTGAATCAAGCCTATGTGTGTGAAAATCGTACCTCTAGTGTGTGTGTGAGTTCTGGACTTAGATAACATGAAAAATGGGCCAAAACTCCAATTTATAATGTTAAAACTCAAGTTGGGCCGGTTTGGCCCGGCAAGGTACCCATTTTGACTATCAACACTTAAAATATTTATAACTTTTCGCTCGGAACTCCGTTTTCTATGAGGTTTTTGTCTACACGTTCATAAAGAGATAATCTATAACATCCAATAAAAATATTCCAAAAAATATCTCTCAAGAAAATCAGTTTTACGTGTCTATTTGACGTAAAATTTTCCCAAATCCTCTAATATATTCTTAAGAAATAAAATTCTAAAACTTCAGACCCAAACTCCCACTAAATCGTAAGTTCTATTTAACTCAATAATTAAATATACTAAGCAAATAATTGAGCATATTAGAAATTGGATGTTACACCATTGAAGAGAGACCTGAGTTGTTTGTGGTAACTGTGAGAACCAATTTCAACCAATCATTTTAATACATTAATTATTACATTTAAACAAATTTAAAAGGGTATTTAAGTCAATTCCTAAATTAAAATTAGGTTTTATTTTTTAAATTAGAATCGTTTCATAATATGTAATTAATATTGATTTACATTCCAAAATTATACAATGATATTCAGAATGATATAAATCCAGGTTTTTTTCTCATCCATCTTTGTATATTATGTTCAACCTGATTTGTATCACAGTGTGTTATCCAAATTTATTATCATCATAACTTTTAGTGTACTTATTTTGTATCTGTATTAGTCGTATCTTCTTGTTGTGATTCTGTATTATTGATGTGTGCAACTGTGATACATAAATAAATAACCAAGAGTATGTTTGAAGGCATGTTTACGGAATACTTCCTACTGTGTATCTGTTTTAGTTTAATCTTATATTCTTATTGTTATTACTCTGGAATTCTTTAATACCTGCAATTTTAGATGTGTAAATTTTAGATGTAGTTTATTGTATTAGAACCTGCAATGTCTTTGTATGTATCAATGTTATAATCATGTTTGGGGTAATGTTGTAAATAAAAGACAGTATCTTGATGTGCACCCTTCTTCATCTTTTTCTTTGGAACCTTCGCAGTTCTCGTTGGTGTTTCAAACAACTGAATTTGAGTTTCATTGTTGAC